GGGAGGTCACGGCGGCGGCGGCAGCGCGGAAGGGAGGCAGCATTCGCTCCATAAGACGCACAGACATTTTCCCCCATCTTTTGGGGGTGAAAAAGTGCGTCTTATAGAGCGAAAAATACGGTAATTGCTTTGAGGGAAAATAGAAAAAACTACAAGATCAATTTGGAATTAATACAGATATATAGCTTTGAAATTTGGGGACTAAAAGTACCTTTGAAAGTGTTTTTAGAAAAGATATTTGAAAGTCTATACAATAGGCTTGGATTTGGAAAGCTGGAAGACGGTGACAACAACATCTAGTGGTGAATCACGGCACTACAATTTATTATGCTTATAAGAAACTTGCCTTGAAGCCTGGACTTAAATAAGACTCTTTGTTGTTCCTGGAAACTTTCACTTTTGCAGACTGCAGTTGGGAAAAGGGAAAAAAAAAACCCTCTTGGGCTGCTTATCTGTGTTGGGGATCCTATTGGACTATAAAGACTACATACAAAAACAAAATGGGTGTTTCATACTTAGCCTCAAATGGTAAAAAAAACCATCTTTAACACTTGTCTCTGAAGCCCCCAGCGTGATATACATACAAGAAAATGTTAATGAATCTCAGAAAGAAATTATTTCTATGTTGAAATCAATCCAAGAGACAATTGTTTTATTTCATGATGAGACTAAAAATAATGCAAATGAGATAAAAGAACAATTTTCTAACCAAACTTACAAATCCAGACAATGACCACAAAGAAGGAGCTAGTAACCCAGAAAAAAAAAGAAGGAAAATTAGAAGAAACGGATCTAAAGATTGAGGACCTAAAGAAAGGAATTAACAGACAGATACAGACAAATGAAAAATTAGAAAATGCAATGATAACACTGGAAATGGAAAATGGAAAAGATTTTACTTGTCAAGATCTCAGAACACATTTGAGGATAAGGAAGAAGAGCTGATTGAACAGATGATAAAGCTGTTAGGAGAAATCTGAATATTGACAAATAAGAAATGAAAAGAAAAACTAAAGGAGAAGTATGGAGGCTGTTTAATGCATATAAATGGGTTGAGCATTCTTCCAAAAACATTTCAATCAATTTTTCTTCCTCATTCCAAACAATATATACAAAAACAGAGGAAGAATTACTTGATGATTCAAATGTGCTGACTTGGAAAATTATTTGGCAAAGGAAGAAAGCTAGAGTAAGACTGAAGAAAATAGAGGTTTTGACCTATTAGATGAAATATTATACTATTAAACAGATGTTTGAATATGGTTAAGAAAATAGATAACTGTTAGAAATGAAATTATTATAATTAGGATAGGATTTGTAACTAGAATATTATACTTTGTTATGAGATGGGAAATATGAAAATTTTAAAAGAGTTTGAATAAGGGAAGCTTTTGGTTTCCCAAATATAATTTATTATGAGAAAATTATAAGCAATAGAGATATTTTGAACAATGATGGGAAATTAAAAAAAATTTAAAAGCAGGAAAAACAGGATATTGATTGAACAAATGGATGTTAAGTGCATATGCAATTGAGATATGTTCTGGCTATCGATATTATGTATAATACCAGAAAAATGTGATGAAGATGTCTATATTTAATTGTATATGTATTGACAGTAACAAGAATTGTATTTGCCCAGTGTGGAAAAATGCATACCACCGGAAGAAGAGAGGATCAAGGAAGCACTGGATGGTGTAGTATTGGAACGGGACTGGGAAAGTTAATATGTACCACTGAATTACCAATGGACTCAGACAACACGTTGTTTATTAAGTACTCATGATTAATTAATAAAAAATGTATATAAAAAAGAAACAATCTAGAGAAAAAAGTGACATAACTTCCCACATAATTTTTTAACAGTCATTTTTAGAATGAGAAACAAGAAATTTCCCACTGGTGAATGAAAATACCGAGTGCTGATACTTACCTATCACATTGTTGCATTATTGATATCTCCTTAATAATCTCCTGCAAATCAGACTCAACAGGAACTTGCTTAATTGCAACAACTTGGCCTGTTTCTTTATGGATAGCTTTGAATACGCTGCCATAGGATCTGTAACAAGAAACCCAAACTTCAAACTCAGAAAGAATAAAATAAAAGAAGCTTGATCATTGTGCTGGAATGCCTCATGTCAAACCTTGACTCCTGAAAAGTGCCATGTAGTCCTCAACTTAAATCAATGGATTCATTCCTCAATAAATCAATGAAAATCAATATTCTGACTCATTTAATTGGGTTCTTAGGACTTATGTGGAGAACAGATTATATCATAGATCATATATGCAGAACTATTGAAAATTAAAAAGGGTTCACCAACCTTTTAAGTACTACTGTATATGAGAAACATTACTGGAATAAGCTGTTTTAATACTCCTAATATGGAAAAAATATATTTGGAGGAAAAACATAACTTTTGTTCTCAAGAAGCTGACTTTTTAGTTTTTAGAAGCTAAAAGTGAGACTATCATAAATATTCATCGTTAATCAATATCTTTATTTAGTGGGATACAGATTATGAACCAGTGACGTTACTTAACTTTAAATGTGCCAAAGATTAATTGATTTGTTTCATTACTAGAAATGAACTGTGGAGTATATTTTGCATGCTTAATCTCACTTTTGAAAAGAGTGCAATCTAAGTCATGTATGGCACTGCTGGATATAAGAGAAAATTTTGGAATATTTACAGCCTTGTCTCATTCTTTTAACTCAGACTGAGAAAGTGAGGCTTTGCACACAGCACAACTTCCTCAATTGCTAGAAATGGATAACCTGCAGACATAGCAGCCCCCCCTTTGGAACCCTTCTAACCACTACAGAGTTTCCTACTGCCTTGAGGCAGGAAACTTGCAGAACCTAAAATAGGCTAAACAAACAAAACACCAGAACTTGGGGAGAAGGGAGAAACAAACAAAAAACAATAAAATGTTATGAAATCATTTTAAATGCTACTAACTTGATTCATGTAAAAATGTTTACTTTGTTTTGGAAGACAGGAACTAAAATACTTATCTTCTAATATATGTCTGTGCACTTTCAACCGCTATGGCAGTATGGAATATTTGACATTACAGGAGTAGCAGCAGAATAATCTTTAGGTCACATATTGCAAAAATGAAGATGGTAACAAATGATCTCCATAGAAATGACAAAATCATTTCATGGACCTCACTAATAGTACCCTTTTAGGCTTTTTTCCCTGACCATGCTTGAAAAATCTTAATGGTTTCCTGGCCGGTTTAGAAACATAGTCTTCAGAACAATAGGGATGGAATCTTTAACAGAATTCTGCATGTATACAGGTAGTCTTGAGTTACGATGGCCACTGGTGGCAGAATTTCTGTTACTAAGCAATGCAGTTGTAAACAATTGTAACTTTGGTAACTAAATGACCATAAGTCAAGGATTACCTATACCCAAAAGCTCATAATCATAAACATCATCAGCAAACATAATGTACTAATTTAACAAATATACTAATTTAACAAAGAAAATCACAGTAACTAAAGTAACAAAAGTGTAAAGTAAAACAATGTTTTTCCTACATATCAAACTCATGAACCTATTTTCATTGGTAGCTACCTCCCCCAGTCCCAATCCAACAAGGCATGTCCCAGAATTAAGTATCATTTGGCTAGGTCAAACATGGAGAAACTTTCTGTAACTCCATGACACAAAAATCATTATGGTCAATTTTAGACTGGCAGTTGCTCTATTCCTTTACAAGTTTAGAAAGCTAGTTAAAATGATCCAGCCCAGTTCTTCTTTTGCAATGGTTTGGGTCCTGCCTAAAAGTGGTACTGGAAGAATTATTTTTCAACATCTGAATCACTTACCTATGGTGTTCCATAAGCTACTGTCTTATCTTCCATGCTGTATAACAGAGGTCCCCAACCTGTGGGCCATGGCCCACTACCAGGCAGTGGCCGCTTGGCCACCAGGCTGCGTGAAAGGATGGCCAGTGCACGAACCAGCCTACCCCGAGTGTCCCATCAGTGCTAGCTTCGCCCTACCCCTGAGCATCCCACCGGCACTAGCACCGTCCCAAGCATCCCGCCAGCACTAGCACCACCCTGCCCTTGAGCGTCCCACCTGCACTAGTGCCACCCTGAGCATCCCGTCGGCGCTAGCGCCACACCGCCCCCAATCACCCCACAGGCACTAGCGCTGCCCTGCCTCAGGCATCCCACCGGCACTAGTACCACTCATAGCATCCTGCCAGCGCTAGCGCCGCCCCATTTGCAGCACTCGTACCTGCACTGACCCATTTGCATGTGCCTATGCGCTCACATGCGGCCGTTTGCTTGTGCGCATGTACTCATGCATGGTCCATTTGTGCACACGCACGTGGGGCTCATTTTTGTGTGCGCAGGTACGCAGCCCATTTGTGCGTGCGCACACAGCGGTGCCTGCCTCCCTTTCCGGGCCGCCAAATCAAAAAGGTTGGAGACCTCTGCTGTATAACATCTATAGGAAATTAGTGGGGGAGTTTTGGGTTCTGGAATGGAGTGCCATGTATTTACTGATGACACCAGGCTCAACTGTTCCCTACCAATTAATTTCAAGGAAGCAATCAGCATCCTTGGATCCCTTCTAATCTTAATAGTGGACTAGATGAAAGAGAACCACCTGAAATTAAATCCAGATTAAGAGAAAAGTACCATTCATAGAAAAAAAATAGACTGTAGGATTGAAACAAACATTCCCAGAAAAAGCAAATTCAGAGTTTGGGGATGCTTCTTGAACCTCACCTATCACTGAGTTTGCATGTGTAGGCAAAAATTATGTATGCATAATTACAGTTCATGAAGCTATGTGATCTTTCCTCAGTGGGTAATTACAATCTCTCTTGACTGTTTGGATGGGGCTACCCCTGAAAAGTGTTTGGAAATTATAATTCAAATAAATTGTGGCAGCTCCGCTAGATATATGGTGCAAGATATATGGAACATTTGATGCTACAATAAAACAGCTTGACATTTCCTGTCTCTTAGAGTACAAGTCACTCTATAGCTAACTTTCTCTACTGCAGTCTATAAAACAATGTTTTGCTCCGAAATAAGCAGTCTGGTTTATTTAGTCTTCAAAATGACTTGCTGTTTCAATAGAGTTTAGTTTGACAGTACATATCAGGAAATGACATCAATCCTATATGCACAATTATCTATGGCAACATTATATAGGCTGTGATAAGGATATTTGTGTGGTTTACTTACCCTTCTCCAAGTTTTTCCAACACATCAAACACTTCTTCAGGCTGTTTTGTCAAACTATCTTCATCTAATTTTCTTAGCTGCCTGGAATCAAATAATTAGATATGTTATCAGATTTTGATGGCTGGACCTTCAATATCAACTTAATTCCAGCAGCAAATATAGTTTATTAACAAATTATTTTACCAATACTGAGCATAATCCATACATATACAAAACTGCATTTTTTAAGGACAGGCAGAAGAGAGACTCTCAAAGTTCTCAGGCAGCCTGACATTTGCATCAGTTGTATCTCTTGTACTAGGAAGTATTCTAATTCATAAAATATTTTTCATCCAAAATGCACAATTAATTATGAAATGTTTTCTACAGTTGCCTGAAAACTAGGTATTCATTTTCTGAATGCAAAAATATAAAAAAATCAGCAGCATATGCAAAACAGATAATGATTTTAAAAGAGGAAATATTACTAAGGTTCCATTCAGGAAATGGTGAAACACAAAAACAAGTCTTAATGATAAAGCTTTAAGATTACAGAATATAATCTGGTTTAGAATAAAAAAACAGCAAATACACTATCCTTCCCAAGTTACTATTTGGATAATTGTTAGCCCACAAACTATTCTAGCTGTGCATTTTTAAACAGGCCACTTTCATATATCACAGTGTGAATTCAAATGTATTAACCACTATAAGCAACCAATTAATTCATTTCTAAATGTTATCATAACACATTCAGCGGCTACCTCTATTAGGAATTTTTAAACTCTGTAATTTTATTTATTTGATAAATTTATATAAGTAGTCTTTGTTTCGCACCGTGATAGGGATCAGCACTAAGTAGGAAATGACAATAACTGTGTTTTCTGGCTCAAAATTGACAACACTAATCAGTTTCACACTTTTCACTTTTGTTTGCCTCCTACTCACTTCCATACCCTTTGGAATGTGTATCCTAGTGCTCGGATAATTAACAAGAAAGGAATTAATATTTTTATTTACACTCATTGTAGATAAAGATTATAAGAGAGTAAGCAGGCACACAAAGGAATATCCATCAAAAGCAATGTACTAGCATCAGCAGCTGGGAACACACTATCTGTTGTGTGCCTGATTACTCTCTTGTAATCCCATTTTCTCCAATCTCTCCACTCTGCAGGAGAAGGGGGACAAGCAATTTCTCCTTTGTCTAATCCATTCCCACTCCTCACAAAGGGGAGAAACTGGAAAGTAAACAGCATAGTGCTTTTGATGTGTATTTCCCACTGTATGCCTGTTTATTCTCTTATAATGTTTTTCTCTTCAATCTCTCTGTTCTACAAGGGGGTGGGACTCTCTGTTCTACAAGGGGGTGGGACTCTCTGTTCTACAAGGGGGTCAGGAATAAGATGCCTACTAATTCTAATGGCGATCACATAACTGTGACGATCATATGACTGAAAAACAGCATGGCTGTAACTTTGAGTGGTCACTGAACTAGGCAGTTAGTGAGGGTTACCTATGTAGATGCCCATTTCACAAACATGACTCTCTAGTCTAAGTGGCCATCATCAATTTTAGAATCCCTCATATACACTCTTTGGGTATTACTTCATTGAGTAATTGCCTCCTCAGTTGAAATATCACCAGTCAATTCACATATTAGAGATTAATCATTTTAACAGAAAACATTAACCCAATTTTAAAATCACTTATGCTTATCATTGACTGAGATGGGTGGCTATAAAAATTGAATAATAAAGGTGCTTGAAAAGTGATTACAAAGTTTCATCAGCAATCTAAAGAAATGCAAGTATATTATATGTAGGAAATACAATTCAATGTATACAGTATAGACTAATTATGATTATAATTATCTATTTATCAAAATAGAGAAATGCTACAAACCAAGTAATACATCAAGTAATCAAAAACTAAAAAGTTTGAAAAATTATTGGCAATAAAAGAAAAAAGGGAAAGAAAATAAATTTGAGAATCCAAATTGTGAATATGCCAGAGTCGGAGTCAAATGATCAAAATTCAGATGCTTGGCACCTGGTTCATATTTATAATGGTTGCACAGAGGTCATGTGACCACCTTTGGCGACCTTCTGACAAGCAAATCAATGGGGAAGCCAGATTCACTTAACCACCATGTTACTAACTTAACTGCAGTGATTCACTTAACAACTGTGGCAAGAAAAGTTGTAAAACAGGGCAAAATTCACTTAAAACTGTCTCTCTTAGCAGCAGAAATTTTGCACTCAATTGCGGTCTTAAGTCATAGAGTAGACTATACTATATTTTGGTTCTCTAGATACTGAGTTACAACTCCTATTTATTTATCTATCCGTCTGTCTATCTGTCCAATCATCCATCCAATTTAGAGGCCATTTGATTTCACAGAACTTATATATTACAAAATAAGAATAAAAATATATTGCTAAGTGCAATATTACAATTTAATGAAGAAGGGAACAACAGAGAATGAGGTGGCTGGATGGAGTCACTGAAGCAGTACGCATGAGCTTAAATGGACTCCAGAAGAGGACAAGAAGGCCTGGAGGAATGTTGTCCATGGGGTTGCGATGGGTCGGACACGACTTCGCAACAACAACAACAACTTCAGCTTTCCTTTGCATTACAGACCCGCAAACGTTGTAAATGTTAGGATTGGTTGCAAAGTTACTTTTTCACACCATCATAATTACAAACAGTCACTAAACAAGGCAGGCAGTAAATTAGAACTACCTGTAGTCTGGAAAATAAGAGTTCTTTTTTCCAATATAATCTTTACTCTTTTACTTTTAGAAAGATATTCATACAAACATTATGTATGCTTTCAAAGGGATTTTAATAAATTCATACCTAAAATATACAGCTGGAAGACAACAATATGTTATACATGACTAGTATGAGTTAATATCAAGATGAAGCATGTGCAAGAGGTTTTATTAAGACTAAAAAAATTTCAACCCAAATTAGAAGGTTAGATGAATCACAATGTATTTCTGCATCTGCCATTAAATGGTTAACATCAGACCTGTTATGATATAAACACTTAAGCAAATATGTAATATTGATATGAAATTAGCATTCTCTAACCATGCAAAACCTAATTTGACACCTGATAATCATCTTCCTAAGAATTTCTTATGTTTTAAAATTAAGAAGTATCATGATTTCAGAAATCTCATTTTCGTTTTAAGTATTAAATCTGGAAATATAGTTGCATGCAAAGATTAAGGTAATCTTTTGTACCACAGCAGAAACAACATGTCTCTTAGCATCATCAAATGTAGGTCCCGGCTATTTCTACCAGATATAATGGCACAGGCTGATGTAATTGGGGAGAGGTGGCTCCTCAGATAGTTTGGTCCCATGCCACGAAAGGCTTTAAAGATTAAAACCAGCAGCTCTAATTAGAGACAGAAACAAACTGACAACCAATTCAGCTTGCGAGGTGTAACATGTTCTAAGAGCATACATAACTGCCTGTGCCACTGCATTCTATACCAGTCGAAGCTTTCAGATATTCTTCTAGGGCAGCGCCATGTAGACTACATTGTAATAATAAATTCTGGAGGTGATTAGGGATGAGTGACTGTCTGTAAGCAGGGCCTGGCAATCCAGCAGCAGGTGCAACAAGTGCACAAGACAAAACTCTGCAAAACCCCACCTAACCACATCTGTTACCCCATTCATCAAGAAGTCATGAGTCTAAGAAGACCCCCATATTGTGTATTGCGTCTGTTTGGGTCAGAGCAATCCCATCCAGAACCAAAGATGCCGTAGTGCTGGAACCACACAGTCTTGTCAGGATTTATCTGAAGCCTGTTTCCCATCCAGATCCTCACAGACTCCAAATACTAGGTAAGACATTCATAGCATTGCTTGATTTGGATAGATATAATTGGGTATTGTTAGCATACTGATCATACCTCAGCCCATGGCAACAGATGAGCTCATTTAGCAGCTCACATAGATGTTAAAGAGGAGACAAGAAAGCAAATATCTTATTCTGCTTCTGGAAAATAACTTTCAAATAACCATAATTACCACTATCAAGCAATTTGTTACAAATCTCTGGAAGTATTATATAAATGGTTCTAGACATCTTCAGATATCAAATAAATAGCAATGTTCACAAAGTACTGCCACTAACATAGCTTTTGTTACTTTCATGCCTATATTATGATCAAACTTTTTTTAAAAAAAAAAGATGGGACAAAAATCTAGTAATAATTCAGGAAATTATATAATTTGCAATCTATATATACAGAATATTTAATACTTTAAATGTTTAAGCCACTGTTTAAGCAATTAAAACTGTACAAGAAACTGATTGCCAGTATTTCAGGATTTTGACATTTTAGAACTTCCCTTTGTGCAGTTAAAGACACTGGGTGCTCCTCTACGTATTCACTTCCCCTTACTATGTTTTTAAGCAAGCAATGAGCTTTGGTAAGTAAAGATACCAACTTCCTCTGTAGATGGCGTCTAAAATGTCCAAAGTACATCAAAATGTACGCATGTGCACCCATAATATTTTTAATTTCAGTTTATGCTCTACCTCCCACAGAAAAGCTATTTCTAAAAAGGCAACATATTACTTGGAAAGCCTTGCAAATCCATAAAACAAAACTTTTACTATTCACTTCTCTATTCTTCTGTTGATGGGTTAACCCCAAAACCTGGAAACCAACCTGAACTGTAGGAAGCCCTGTTTTAAATACCCAGGCAGAAATTACTTATGTCCAGGCAGAGATGATTATCTCAATCTTTGGAAAACTACTAGAGTAATCAATATGGGATTTCACCCTAGGCCACCCTCAGTTAAGATGCCAAGTTCATATCTTTAGATATCATCAGTTGTATCACGCTAACGGTACCACTGCATTTCTGCTGACTTTTAATGAAAAATCTGTACAGTGGTACAGTGACTAAGGAAAGCAGATACTCAAAATATACATATAGGGTGACCCAAGATGGTAGCTAGGAATTTCAGACGGAACTTAAATCGAAAAAAATAGTTGGAACTAACGCAGACCGAAGAGGCAAACAGCTGCAAAACGCAGACCCGACTCCACCAATAGGAAACAAGCTGGGGCACACAGTTTGAGACAAAGAATTGCAGAAAGACGCCTGTCCTTTGAGCACAAGGTGCAGGCGAACCCCGACCAGCGAAAACCAGGGGAGAAAGGTCAGAGCTTCCGCTGCAGAAAAGACCGAAGAGGAGGTCTCAGAGGCAAGAAAAAGCGCAGTGTGCGCGCAACCCCCTTGGCTCTATCCTCGACCATTCTTCCACCATCCTAATCGCACGGTCACGCCCTTTTCTCTGGGGGGGGACCCCAAAGTCCGGCTTCTCACCGGCGCGGGTGGCGCAACTGCACGGTCTCCATGGCCGCAGGAGCAGCAGCCGGTAGACAAGGGCTGGGATGATGCGGAGAATCAAAGAGAAGCGGCAATCACCGGTGCCCCATCCCGCCCGCTTTCTTGCAGCTCTACTCGCTCTGACTAAAAGCAGAGGCCCCGCCCCCCCCCAAACAGCGGCTGCACTTCCGCTTCGGAGCAGCCTATCAAGGCGATGCCCGCCGGCCTCTGCAAAAAAACCCGAAGCCAATACGGACCCCGCCCACCCGGCAGCTGGGACTGACGGACGACAGCGCGGTGGGGGGGGGGGGCGGAGATGTAATTCACAGCCCTGCCCACGTGGTTCGCGCCAATTCTCTCCTGTCTTTGGAGGGCGTGGCTACGGGGATAATGAAGTCCCTCCTTTTATTCCTCGTTTATGCACAAGAGAGGGTGTGGTGGGCACGCGCTTTCCCGAAGTTTGAGTAAGATGTGGCAAACCCACTAATTTTGGAGATGGTGGATTCACACGTTGCATTGAAAGATGAATTTTCAATCATCCTGGCGGAATTTACACCTTTCGCTAATTTATATCCTTTATTACCGCGTAAGTTCGTTTTCTTGTTGTCCAGGATGTATCTATAGCACCACAAAACTAAATAAAACACTTTAAAAAAAGACACAAAGGACTAAAATATCCTGAAATTGTCATCTTGTAAGATCTGAGACAGGAAGTTTTAAAAGGGGGGGAGGGGGCAGGTACAGCAATCCCCTAAGATTTTAATAATTTTTGAAAATATATGTAAATTGAAGCACCAGAGTGCAGTGCAGCCATTGGCTATCAGCGAGCCCCTGAGCACAGGTTAACAATCATTGGGCTTGTTTGGCACACAAGGACTTTTGTGGTTTATATTCCAATGTAATGTAAAAAAATTTGTTAAGTCAGCATGTTCACAGTAACTGGCCCAACCTATCCCTCTAAACTACCCTGGCTGAGTAAATTTTTGAGCCTACTCTTATCCAAATATATGTTAGCTTTTGTACAGTGGGGATTTAACTTATATGTGGTTGCAATCTTATACCTAGGATTACTTGTGAATAGTCATGATTAGAATACTATAAGTATATGGTCGAAGTATACCCAGTTCAGAAGAACAGTCCTGATTATTTGGGATTGTTATTACCTGGATTCAGTTTTTAATCCATTTTCTTGGAAGAAAACTCTTGAATTAAGTGAATTGTGTTACAATTATTAAATAATACAGAGAATTAAGGATTTATATATCACAGCATGCACTGGCTTAAGTAGAATGATCTTATTGGGGCAATTCTAGCAATCCCAAGAAAAGTATTCGACATTTTAAATTACATTTAAATTCCATCAGACAACTCAATTGTCTGTAGCAAAAAGCTTATTAACAACAATCTGTTAGCCAATTATACAAGAGGGGAGAGAGGAAATGGTTAAGAATTGGCCCACTGTTTTGTAAGTTTGAGGAAAAATAAGGACCAAAATGAGTATGTATAAACGAAAAATTCAGCTTTGCTGAGACTTTTAAAAAACAAAATAGCTACCTTAACTGTCTGCAAAGGTTAAGGCACTCATTTTGCTTTAAGAATGGTATATCATGAAAAGTCCTGGTCTGGAAGACCTCCAAGGTTCCTTTCAATGCTACCATTCTGATTTTTTAAAAAGATTAAAAGAGGGATTATGAGGTTTAGAAAAGGCCAGGAGGGCCACTAGGAGGCTGTGTGTAGTCTGCAGACATCTGCTAGCTAGACTGTTCTTGTACTATAAAACAGAGACCTTTCACTGATGAATAGGGGCTGGGTGGCACAAACAAATAGATATCCCTAGATATAAATCTAATAGCAATTAAATAGAACTCATATTATTGTTATGTGTTTAATAATTCTCCCTTCTGTTGCATTATAAATTTCAGTAATGTAACAAATTTGGTTGGGACCACTGCAATTTATGGATGTCTGTAGTAAGGCCCCTCATGGCTTAATCTTCTGTACAGAATCCACTTCCTTTTTAATAAAAAAGCATTCTGTCTTGGTCAGAATTTGCACTGTCCTAGATTCCCCTCCCATACTTTATTATATGCCTGTGCTAAACTTTGCTATGGACAAAACTCAGCAGCACTTTTTCGTGTGGCTGCTGATAAAAACAGGATCACCAATATGATTGCCAACATCCGATAACACAGTGGTTCTCAATCTTTTTAATGCCGCGACCCCAACCGGTCGTAAGTCGAGGACTAAACCGGTCGTAAGTCGAGGACTAAACCGGTCATAAGTCGAGGACTATGCGTGGTTCCACCCCCTGCGCCAGCTGAGGCGTAGCTGGCAAGCAGCAGAGACGGAGCAGGCCGACCACCAGTTGGCCCAGCCCAAGGGAGGTAAGGCACCCACTGGAAAAGGGGGAAAAAATGGCGGACAAAAAAAATGGCGGACAGCCTTGCTTGGCGACCCCCATGAAATGGTCGATCGACCCCAAATGGGGTCCCGACCCACAGGTTGAGAACCACTGTGATAACAGATATGGCACAAGAAGAAGAAGAAAAAACCCTGATGTGATTCTCTCCACCTTTTAATATAAACCCCACTATCTGTTGGAAAGTCATTGACACACACACACAAACACACACACACACACAGAGAGAGAGAAAGAGAGAGAGACTTAAGTTAATATGTACCTTTTCTTTCTTACTGAAACTTCAGTTTCCTGTTCAGTTCATTTCTATGCAATTTTATGGGAGATTACTGTTTATAAATTTATTGACAGATTATTCCAGAATGAATGCACTGGGCTTTCCTCCCATAGAAGGAGCTCGAAATATTCAATTGGGTTCACCTCCCAGTGAATACAGTGCCCGTAGTCTAAGCCCCTAGCTTCATACCTCACCCTCACCACCACCACCACCACCACTGACTCTCTAATCTGCTGCATGGATTATAGTGCTGGACCTTCGCTGCACAGGCGTCTCTAAAGGAGGGAGGCGGGGCGTCGGCCGCTTGCGCCGCCCCTAATTAAATCGAGCACGGAGAAAGGAAGCGTCTTCTCGTTTCTACGCCGCCAGCCGGTGCCGGCTTTTTCAGACCTCCCTCGCCTCGAGTTCATGGCTCCTGCGTCGCGGATCGCCGACCTTAAGCAAGCGGGCAACGAACAGTTCCGCAATGGGCAATACGGCCAGGCGGCTGCGCTCTACGCCCGAGCTCTGGAATTGCTGGAAGCGGCAGGTACTGGCTTGGAATTCGAAGCCCCGCAAGGCCTCGCTCGGTGTCCGGGGCGGGAAATCAGGAACGGGAGACCTCGGGCTAGGACTCTGAGGCAGTCGCCTCGTTGCCTCTCTTATAACCCCTTCGATAGGCAGAGAAAGGGTTTTACCCTCAGCCATCGGGGTCGCTCCTTGCTCGGTGCCGGCTTATTTCCCCAAGTCTGACTCCATTTACTATACTTGTTTCGTGTTGGAAATGAGTTGTGTGTAAGATGGGGTGGGAGCGTCCAGCTGGGCTTCAAAGTCACAGCCAAGGGTGGATGGATGGCATTATTTACGTTTACAATTCCACATTTCATTTGCAAAATCACGAAGGGCCTTCACGGATTATCTCAGAATATCTCTGAGTAATGACTTCACCCATTTCATAGGTGGGTGAAATTGAGGAGGAGAGATTCCCTGGCAGAGATGAGACTTGAATCTGTTGAATCAGCAATTGGATAGTAAAGTGTGTGGGCCACTGTCTTTAATTTTGTCAAGAGAGGAGCAGAAGCTTAGAAGGACACATAATTCAGAATTGAGTCTGGCCTGGGCTTAGACTAGTAATGCTATATTTCAAAACAGGTCCTGGATGAATTCCAATTTATATCAATGCGCATTCTCTTTGGGTTTAAGTCTTGGCCAGACATTTTCTTTTTTAAAAAAAAATAGGTTAGTGACTAATATTTTAGACTATAAAACTAGAACCGAGCTTGAGGATCATGAAGTATAAATGCACAAACAAACCCACAAAGATGATTTTACCGCTACATAAATGTGGACACCCAGAATAATTTAAACAGTACCTGATGGCAGAATATAAAAACTCCATCCCATTAGCTGAGTTTGAGCGTTCTGGGCTTTTTTTTTTACCAACTTCTTAGGTAGATAAGAGGTGCTTTATGGTCCTCTGGATTAAAATGGAACAGCATTCTTTCTCTTGCTACATATTCTTGGAATTGCAGCCAGTGGACTACATATAGACCAAACGTGGCAGATTGTGGTGGACATACAAGAAGAACTTTAGGTCTTCATAATTTCCTGGTCTTAAGTTACTGGGAGCCTCTGAAACCTCTTTCATAATAAGCTTTAGACTTATTATGTCAGCAAAGCTATCTGCTGCAGTCACAATGAGAGATTTTTGGCCACTGGCAGAAGTGAAAGTTAAGTGTGGAGTCAGAAGTTGGATAGCTCTAATGAAGCACTTTCTGTTTCTTTTCCTTTCTATTGCCCTGAGCCTCAGAGCTTTAATAGGAGTGGCTCATTTTTAAGTATTTTCTGTTTATTTCTGCTCCCTGTGTTCCTTATGGACTCTAAGGTGAGGAACAGAAATTTATCTAATTACATTCTAGCTTCAGCCTTGTCTCCCTTTGACTTATGCAATTGTAGCCTTTGTAGTTGTAGTCTTGTCCTAAACACCAGATAGTGCTTTCCAAATAGAAAGCAACATTCTGGAATGATAGAACATAGTGAAAGGCCTAAGATATCTAGTAAATAAATGAAAGAAAGTAGAGAAAACTTAAAAGGCCTTTTGTAACATAAAGACCATTTTTAAGGACCATTTCTTTATATCTTTATAAAATGCTAATATTGTATATTCTGAGAAAGAATTTTAAGTAATTAATATATAATTGTTTGAAAAGATCATATAAAAGTAAAGTATTTCCATAATTTGTTTAGGCATCATATTGTCTTTTCTTTGTTGCTAATCATGTGTGAATAATGGATACAAACGTTTACATGCTACCTATTGAAAAATAAGGCAAAAAGTTGCTAGCTCTGTCTCTTTCCTTGAATAAATACTACTTTAAATTGTATACAAGCATCATTTAGGTACCCAGTCTATAGAAAACAGCAAAGGTAAC